TGACCGTCTCCTTCAGCTTACCAATTTTCAGAGCGATCAGAGCAAGTTGAACAAGTTCAGAAATACCCGATACGTCCTGCAACGACTAAGAAACAGCAAAAACGGTTAGTAAACGACAGAATTTTGCAAAAATAAGGGTCACCTCACACCCTTCTAGGGTGTGACTTATGCTCAGAAGGTCGAATTCCTTTGGGGAATAGAACTCCTGGAACCAATCGCTCAAACTGAAGTTTTACCGATTTCCCCAATTTTTTTTTTTTTTTTTCAGAAACGAAAATTAAAGAAAAAGAAGAAGAAGATGAAAAAGAAGATGATCAAGAATCAGAAAACGATTTAGACCGATGCAATTTCCCCGGCAACGGCGCCAAATTTGACACGAGCTGTCAAACTCGCGCAAATTAAAAATTAATTCTTTAGGGTTCAGAATTTTTTTGTAGTAAAGTGCAAACCCTAAGTCGTCTCTCAAGGAAATTGTTTGGGTAAAAATCGCTTATGATGACAGAAAATAAAAGGGGAGTTTGTTTTGATTTCAGTTTGATAATTTAAAAAGGCAGAATGTAAAATTGTATGTAAAATTCGTAATTAAAAATTACCAATCTAAGGTTTGGGTTCCATGGACGTCTTTCCTCGGATAAGAGGATATCAGAATCGTGATTGATTTGTCAATCGAATCAGAATCCTTATTTCCAATTGACAACCCTCTCTAAGCGATCGCTTAGCATTTGATCAAAGACGATGCTTCTACTCATACGATCGCAGAGTATCAACCCGCTTGATTTAAGGTCATAGGGTCAATCAACCTAATCATCAAATCTGATGATTAATCCCTTTCCATAATCGCAATCGCGAACCTCAGATTGAATATCCACGATCGCACGATATCAATCTGAGTTGGGAGGGGAAACGAAACTGATTTGAAATAAACGCAGACCCTCAAGACTAATCCATGGAATCTATTACCCTTAGGTTGATTAAAAGGTTCTTAGCCTCGCATGACTAAGGTAAACATAATTCAAAAAATAAGAGGAAGAAGAAGAAGAAGAACGCAATTGAATAAAAACTCAGAGAGAGCTTCTCTGTTGTAAAAACTGACTTCCAAGGGTTTCCTAGAGTCCCCTTTAAATAGCCGTCACGCAGGACGGCTAGGGTTTCATCGCTTCAGCCCAAACATAAAATAAAAACCGAATAAAATAAAATGAAACAATAAAACTTGGCTTTGGGCCACTTAAGTAATTGGGTTTTGATTTAAATTACAAGCCCAATAGTCAAACAAAACTTCAGCAAAACGCGTCCAACTTGGCGTCCGAAATCGACCAGCTTCCAGTCCGAATTGGGCTTCGAGCTCTTCATAAGAATTGTAGCTCTCTGTGTTATCTGAAAAACCCAACAAGAACGGAGTCAATCCGACAACTATGGACCGAGATATGGCCAAAATACTGAAGTAACGTAAAGCTGAAAAATTCTGACGAAAATAAATTAAATCCAATCAAAAACTAAAAACCTAAATTAACTCTAACAATCATTATTTTATTCAAATAAATCCTAAAAATACTAATCAAGAGTAACAAATAAGTGTAACAAAATATGTGTTATCACACTACCACTGAAAATACAAAATTATGTGAAGCTCCACAATCTATTGACACTACAACATCCTTATCTGCCAACGTGCCCTACAATTTGAGGGACTTCTTAGATGTCAGCCCCATTGCACTGTACATAGTCAATTGCATGGTCTTCAAATGTTCAGCCTCCCAATTCTACAACCTCTTCGTCTCCTTCCGTTCCTTCCCTTTCTTCCATCAACATCAATTGGAGGTTCTTATTTTTACATATGTGGTCAGGGCTATATTTTTCTTCGCACCTGAAACAAAGTCCTTTCCTTAGTTTCTCTTGAAATTGAGCCTCTGGTAATCTCCTAGATCCTCCTGTTCGCCCTCTATTTCCTCCGCTGAACCGGCTAACATTTGATTCTACCACAGAAGCACCACCATTTTTGTTGTTTTGTATGGTAGTTCAAGTTCCACTCTCGTACGTGGCTGTTTTACCCTTGGAAAATTACGGGACCCTTCTCCTTTAGTAACCATCTTATGCTCCTTACTAATCACTTGATCCTTCTCATCAATGATTTGTGCAAAATCCATCAATTTCGGTAACGTAATGGTGGGATGAAGTTTTAATTCAACCCATATTTCCTCTTGTAATCCATTCAAGAAAATGCCTTTTAAATATTCAGATTTTGTGCATTTCAAAGGACCAGCATACAGTTCGAATTCATCCCTATACTCTGTGACAATTGCTGTTTGTTTGAGACTCAAAAGGAGTTCATATGGATTTTGTAACATGGCTGGCTGAGATCTCCAAATCACTGCCTCCTTGAAGTCTACCCATATGGGCTCCGTAACGTCGATCTCCCACCATTGAAACCATGATAATGCCTTCCCCTCCATTGTGACCATCACTGCTTGAAGTTGCTCTCCATTGTTCACCCCTTTCAACTCAAAATACCTTTCGACCCTGTTGACCCAATTATATGCCTCTTCACCCGAAAACAGTGCAATCTCAAGTTTTCTCCACCGTTGTTGCTTCTCTTCTAGTAGAAGATTTCCGTCAGAAGAACCCATCTGTGAATGTTCATTCCCATGCCTCTTTGAATGCTCTGCTAGTAATTCTTCAATTCGTTGCAATCGAGAATCCTGGCTCTCTGCTCGTAACTGGTTCACTTCCTGCATCTTTTGGAGATTTTCCTCCATCAATTTTGCCAGCCGCTTGAGTTTTCTTTCTAAGGAGTCCACTCTTGTTTCCTTCCTTGTACCAACCATGAAAGAACTCCCTGGGAGAGCTCTGATACCCAAGGAAGCACGGACACTTGTAAAAACAGGAAGAGTCGGGTCCGACACGCTCCGACACGGCGACACGCTCCGACACGGTGTCAGACACGCGGTTGACTTTTTCCGACACGTTGACCATTCCGACACGCGAATTTGACCGTGTCCGACACGGTCAAATGACATTTTCGTAATTTTTTTTTTTCAATTTTTTTTAAAAGTTAAAATATATTAATAAAGCTTGTTATATAAAAAAAAAATATATATATATTAATAAAGCTTCCACCTGATCATATCAATTTTATCTTTTTGTTTTTTTCCCTTAAGTAAATAAGAGATCATCTCAGCATCATTGTTGTCAATTCCTATCACGCTCTTGTTGTATCTTCTTCTCTCTGATCTCTCTAATTTGATTTGGTCTCTCTATCTGATATTATATCTCTTTCTCATCTCAGTTCTTATTTTTTATTAAAGCTTCTATCTTTATAACGTGTTGATGGGTATTATTGATTTAGTTTCATTTTTTTGTTAAATTATTAAATATTAAATGAAATATACACTATATAAATTAAAAATATTATTTAATATTAAAACGTGTCCCAACGTGTCGAAATCCATAATTTTTTAGGATTGACGTGTCGGAGTGTAGTGTCGTGTCGTGTCACGTGTCGCGTGTCGTATCGGTGCTACATAGCTGATACCATTTGTAATGTACTGGTTATGGAATTAATAGAAAGTAAAGAGAAATAAATGAAAAGATTGCACTTTATTTAGAAAATCTTCCTTTGTTTGCAAGAAGATTGTTGGTTCTTCTCAACCTCCCTCTCCAGAGGATTCTCTGGCCCACTTCCTTAACAATAAACTCTTGACATAACCATAACTGCTTATTAACTTCCCATTTTATACTCTACCGATTTTATTATTCAGTTATAGAAAGTTACAAATATCCTATAGAATCGTAACTGCCTACTTACTTCCTATTTTATAATCCTATTTATTTTCTTTTTCAGATACACAACATTTAAAAATATCCTAACTATTCCCCTTTTCTAAACTGATGTTATTCTTTTTCTTCTTGGACCACATAGTTTACCCTTTGCTTATTTCTTCTCTTATACGTATGAATTATTGGGGGTTTCTTTACACACTTCTCTTCCAAAAGCTCTGGTTGGTTTGTTTCTCTTCCACATGTAACTAGTATCTTTTTGTAAATTGTGATCATCATCTACTACTAGTATGAATGAGAAATGATCAATGTCTATTTGCAAATGCAAAGAACCACTTCAACTCAAAACCTTAAGGCGTTGAGTGAGGCTACATTAATGATTTTTATATCTCTCTAACACACCTCCTCACGCAAGAGCCCTTTAAGCTTGAAGTGTGGATATTGCACAGGCCCATTTTTTGGTCTACCTTATGTTGCACAGGCCCGTTTTTGGTTTACCTTGTGCTTACTTTATTCCACCACAAAGTGGGGGTGGTGAGAAACGAACTCGTGACCACATGGTTACTTTAGTTCTGATACCAAATAAAAAATCAATTCAATCCAATAGCTTAAGTTGATGGGTGAGACTACATTAATTATTTTATATATCTCTAACACGTCCCCTCACATATGATGTGAATGGTGGATAATGCACAAGCCCATCTACCTGTGCTAAGAAACTCCACAAGGCTTAATTGTTTATTAATTAAATGGAGGCGGTAAGGATCGAACCTGTGATACCATGTAAAGAACCAATTCAATCTAAAAGCTTAAGCTGTTAGTTGAAGGTCTTTTTAGTGGTTTATATTATTCTTTAATAGCAAAAATTGTGCATCTATACAAAATATAGATTTTTCTTTTTTAATACGTATTAACATATCTAGACCATTTCTTATCTTGCATTTTTAAGAATTCCCTTTATCCGTGTTGTACTAAGTATATAGGCTTTATAGTTAATTACAATTTACAAGATTTGAATATACTAATAAAATAGGTAACTATCAACAACAATCTTTAAATTATGAATTTGGGTCAAACTCAGTACAAAGTACACTTTTTGGATTCCAGTAACATCTACTTTCTTTTATTACTATTATTATTATTTTTATGAAGATGTAAGAGCCTGGTATCTTCCTATGTACTCAGAAATGCTTGTCACTGTATTTTTGCTTGCTTTTTCTGTTCAGGCAAGTCAGATCAGAGCTCTTCATTTCCTTTTTCAGCTCATCAAGGACAAGCTCCTGAGTTCTCATCTGACCAGTCAGAGTCAAATATCATAACTGGTCTGGAACACCAAGCTAAATCAAAATCACTTGTAAGCCCTGGATTACTCACCTGGAATCAAACCGACAAAGATAAGCGCAAGTCCTCAAAACCCATATCATTTCTACCCCTGCCCCTTCTGAAACAATTTTATGGATTATATCTCAAAAATGTTCCTGCATTTTGTAGATTATCTACTATATCAAGTCTAATTTCCTAATCTAGAGCACATAAACTGGGGATTAGATTCTTATATGTTAAAAATAAAGAAATGCAGATTCACGTACACAGTTTGCGAAAACTAAACTCTGTTCTTTCCACCATTAGCTGACTTTATTAGGCTTGCAATGAATTAGTTGGTTCTTAATGGTTTTTGACTTGGTTTAACCATCCAGTTTAAGGTAGTCCAACTCCCCGCATATAAACTTTGGAAGATGACATGGCAGTTTATATAATCTGCTACTTGAAATTAAGATCATGTATACATCATAAACCAGTATCAGGTTGATTGGTTGGCAGTAAACCTAGTAGTCTAGTGGTTTTAGGTTGTAAACTGTATCAGTATAATAGTAGGTCCCTATTTAACCATTTGAAGCTGTAGGTTCGACCTAGTTTTATATGTTAGCTTGAACTAGTTCCATAAGCATATGATTTGAGGGAAACAGATTTATTATAGGTTGCGAAAAAGAACTTCAGATAATTATTATCTACTTATTCCGTTTTGGCATTCATCTTATTCTTCTGTGTTTTATTTAGCTCCCAGAAAAAACCATGTATTATTACATCTCGAAAAAGGATCTGTGACATTTATCTATTTCTTGTTTGTTTGTTTTGTGGAATGAGAGCAATAACTGTTGTAAATATTAGGTCTTTTATTATTATTAGTATTTGTTGTATTAGGCCAAGCCCATTAGGTCAAGAATTATGTTTTTTAGTCTCTATAAATAGAGACCTCTTTGTATCAGATTAATACACAATTCAATAATATCTCAAATACCCTTTTCTTTCAAGTTGGTATCAAAGCTCTCGATCCTGAGGGCTCTGCTTCCGCGCCTACGAAACCTTGTTTAGTCTTTTTTTCGTCTCTCGCTGCCATCAGCCGTCACCGGAATTTTTTTTCCGGGGACCTCTTGGACCGAGAAGATCACTTTTTCTCTTCTTTTTCCTCTTCACACAACATAAGGTCACTGTTTGTGTGGCAAAACAAACGTTCTTCACACTGTTCATCGCTGGTCATCACGTTTCAAGACTAACAACACTGTTCATCGCGATTTTTGGACGTTTTTCGGTGACCGTTCAACTTCGATCAGCCCTAGATAGGTTCGCAACCCTTGGACGACCTTCGCCTGAAAAGCCCAGCCCGATCTGACTTCAGACGCGCCTCCACGAGCCGCTCCTTTCCCTGTGCGTGAAGCCCACGCGCCGCCAGCTTCACTGGCGCGTGACGGCGGTCGGGCCACTGCAGTTCTGATCGACTCTCCAAGCTCGTTCTGGATCTGTTCTCAAATCTTTGATCGGACTTCGTTTGGTATTTTTTCCGAATTTTTTGGCTTCTTGGAGCTTTTTCGTTGACTGTTTTTGTGCAGTATGGCCTCTTCTCAAAGGATTTCCTTTACAAAGTTTTATGGTGGTGCATCTTCTAGACCTAAGAGAGATGATTGATGGTGTTCTTATTGTAAAAGAACAAGTCATATCAAGGATTTATGCTTTCGCCTCCATGAAAAGCAAATTGTCTTAGAAAAGATGGCAAGGATGCGTGGTCAAGCGCATTTTACTTCCTCTGAAATAACCCCTGCACCTAATGAGACCCAACCTGCATTTCGTCCAGATGAATTGGAACGGTTCCGAACCATCCTTGATTATCTGAGTAAGCCATCTGATACTAGTGCTTTGGCTATGACTGGTATGAGCTCCAAAACTCATTCTTTTCTTTCTTCATGTAATGATTTTAAACATTCTTGGGTTGTTGATTCTGGTGCTACTGATCATATGGCTTGTTGTGCTGACTCCTTTACTTCTTATCATCCTACCATTGGAACCCATACAATAGCCATAGCTGATGGCTCACATACATCAGTTGCGGGTTCTGGTGACATAAACTTACAGCAGTCCTTACATCTTAAAGATGCTCTTCATGTTCCTAAACTCTCCACGAATCTTCTTTCTATTCATAAAATTACAAAAGATTTGAATTGTACTGTAACCTTCTTCCCTACCCATTGTGTTTTTCAGAATCTCGCCACGGGGAAGATGATTGGTAGTGTTAAAGAGCAAGGTGGGATGTACTATCTGGTGTCACAATCTGCCGCAAATAAAGTAACAGATCACATCTTCATGTCTCATGGTCAATCAACTGCTGATTCTTTGATTTGGCTTCATCATAAGCGTTTGGGACATCCTCCTTTTAGTTTACTCAAGTCTTTATTTCCATCATTGTTTTTATCTAAGTCTGTTGAGTCTTTTCATTGTGATGTTTGTGAGTTTGCTAAGTATCATCGTGTGTCTTTTCCTTCTAGTATTACTAAGAGTGTTGAACCTTTTGATTTTATTCATTCTGATGTTTGAGGTCCTTCTAAAGTCCCTCATGCTTTTGGAAATAGATGGTTTGTTTCTTTTATTGATGATTGCATTCGTGTAACTTGGGTTTACTTAATGCGTGAAAAGTCTGAGGTACCACATCTGTACTTTCAATTTTATAAAATGGTTGAGACCCAATTTGGTAAAAAAATCAAGAGACTAAGAACAGATAATGGTACTGAATATGTTAATCACAGTTTTTCCCAATTTATACGAAATAACGGTATGATTCATGAACTTGTGTTGACACCCCTCAACATAATGGGGTTGCTGAAAGAAAAAATCGTCACCTTGAAGTGGCTCGTGCATTAATGTTTCAGACACATGTACCCAAATACTATTGGGGAGATGCTATTCTTACTGCAGCATTCTTGATCAACCGTTTACCCACTCGGGTACTTGACCATGTAAGTCTTATTCACTCTATAACTTCTTTTTTCCCTTTTATTCCAACTATGAGTCTTCCTCCACGAGTGTTTAGGTGTGTTGCTTTTGTTCATGTTCATAAACATCATCGCAGTAAGTTGGACCCCAGGGCTATTAAATGTGTTTTTCTTGGTTATGTTCCCGATAAGAAGGGCTACAAGTGCTATCACCCTGGTAGTAGGAAATTTTTTGTTTCTATGGATGTTACATTTCAGGAATCTGAGTCCTTTTTCCAAGGTCCTCATCTTCAGGGGGAGAATCCTTCACCAGAAAGCTCATCACCTCCCTTCTTTGAGTCTTCAGTGTCTACTCATTTGCCTGTGTCAGTGTATCCTCCTCTTGTCCCTATTGTTCCTGTTCCTTCTGTGTCTGATCCTCCTGTGACTGATACATCAAGTTCACCAGAGATACGGAAGATTATGACACCTGAGTTGGTATATCAAAGAAGGAAACAACCCACATTGCCTAAGCAGCAACCTCAATCGTCTGAACCACTGGTAAGTCCTGAATCTCATATTTCTGATAATGATGTTAATACTTCTGATGACTTACCCATTACTACTGATTCTGATGATTTACCCATTGCTCTTAGAAAAGGAAAAAGATCTTGTCCCAAGAAATCTTGTTCCTCCTGTCCCTCTTGTACTCAATACCCTATCTCCCATTTAGTTTCCTCTGCTAATCTTTCTGTGCAGCACAAAAGCTTTGTTTCAGCACTAGACTCTATTGCAATCCCAAAATCAGTACATAAAGCCTTGAAAGATGGGAATTGGGCTCAAGCCATGCAAGAGGAGATGAATGTGTTGGAAAAAAATAAAACATGGGAGGTTATTGATAGACCTAATGGAAAGAAAGCAGTAGGGTGCAAATGGGTTTATGCCCTGAAATATAATTCTGATGGAACTCTTGAGAGATACAAAGCTCGATTAGTTGCCAAAGGTTACACTCAAACCTATGGCATTGATTATGAAGAAACATTTGCTCCAGTTGCAAAGATGAATATGGTGAGAGTCTTGTTGTCCCTTGCTGCCCATTACTATTGGAATATAAATCAATTTGATGTGAAAAATGCTTTCCTCAATGGTGAGTTAGAAGAAGTCTACATGGAAATCCCGCCTGGTTTTGATTCTGTGAAAGGAGAAAATAAAGTTTGTAGATTAAAAAAGACCTTGTATGGATTGAAGCAGTCACCTCGTGCCTGGTTTGGAAGGTTTACTAAGGTTATGATGACCTTAGGATACAGACAACAGAGTCAAGGAGATCACACTCTTTTCTTCAAGCAATCCCATAATGGGAAGCTTACTGTGCTCCTTGTATATGTTGATGATATTATTATCACAGGTGGTGATTTTGTGGAGAAACAGATTCTGCAAACACGGCTTGCCTCTGAGTTTGAAGTCAAAAATCTTGGGAAACTGAGATATTTCCTAGGGATAGAAGTAGCTCATTCAAGGAAAGGAATTTTTATCAGCCAGAGAAAATATGTTCTTGATCTTCTCAAAGAAGCAGGAAAGATCGGGTGTAAACCCTCTAATAATCCTATTGAGCAGAATCACAAGATAGGCTATGAAGAGGAGAGTCCTCCAGTTGATAAAGGACAATATCAACGGCTAGTTGGGAAATTGATATATCTGGCTCATACTAGACCAGACCTAGCTTATGCTGTTAGTGTTGTCAGTCAGTTTATGCACGATCCAAAGGAGAAACACATGCAGATAGTAGAGAGAATTCTTCAGTATCTTAAAGCTACTCCTGGTAAATGATTGTTATTCCAACGTGATGACAATCTCTCTTTAGAAGTCTACACTGATGCTGATTATGCTAGATCCGTGACTGACCGTCGATCTACCACTGGTTATTGCATGTTTCTTTGCGGTAACTTAGTGACATGGAAAAGTAAGAAACAAGATGTGGTTGCCAGGTCAAGTGCAGAAGCTGAATTTCGAGCTATGGCTCAAGGCATTTGTGAGTTACTATGACTGAAAATTATACTTGATGATCTCAAAATAAAATGTGAGGGACCTATGAAGCTGCTATGTGACAATAAGTCCGCTATTTGTATAGCGCATAATCCGGTTCAACATGGTCGGACTAAACATATTGAGGTCGACCACCATTTCATCAAAGAGAAACTTGATAGCGGATTGATTACCACTCCATACATTCCCACTGGGCGTCAATTAGCTGATCTATTGACAAAGGGACTTCCTTCAGACAGATTTCAAGAACTTACTAGCAAGCTGAGAATGATAAATATCTATTCCTCAGCTTGAGGGGGAGTGTTGTAAATATTAGGTCTTTTATTATTATTAGTATTTGTTGTATTGGGCCAAGCCCATTAGGTCAAGAATTAGGTTTTTTAGTCTCTATAAATAGAGACCTCTTTGTATCAGATTAATACACAATTCAATAATATTTCAAATATCCTTTTCTTTCAAGTGTAACCAACCAAATAGGAAACTATGTAATTATTTTTTTGTACCTTGTATCATCAATAAACTCTAATGAAAAATTTAAGTGACATGTTCAGATAAATACTGTTAAACTGTTACTTTCAATAGCATTAGCCTCCGAGGTGAGACTGAGATATCTTTTCAATAATCATGGTCTGCAATGCATTGATAACTTCATGTCTCCCTAACATTATTAATCTGAATGTAAGTAAATTATGTAATAAAGTAAGAACACGACATAGTGAAATTTCTCCTGATCATGTTATTGTTATACAGTGAAGAAAGGATTGTCTTCGTGTGGAAATACGAATGGCTGCATAGAGGATTCTTCCTTGTCAAATGGCCAGTGTGCACCTTCACCCTCTGACAGTACCAATGTGGTTTCTGACACAAGTAATGAGCCTTCAAATGCATTAGCCACCCCATCGCACAGAAGAAAGGTCGTTGTTTACTCACGCAAGACAAATGTGGAAGTTGAAGGCGGTGGTACTTTAATGCCTATTAGTGATGACAATTGGGTTGTTTACTCATATTCTCAGTGAGTTAATTGGCTCATTTGTATCATATTTTTATTCTCTCAAATGAATTTATATAGAAAGGAAACTGAAGTAGATTGAGTAAACCCATACATTTGCTCCTCACAAATTTGGAGGTAGACAAATTAGTCATGAGAATGCAAAAATCCCACCATGATGTCACAACTATAAATTATCATATTAATCTTTAGACATTGTATAATATGACTTGACACTTGAGCTTCTTAAGAATTATGAGGTTTTTGCATAGGAACTATTGTGTCCGTCAAATAAATTTCTTTTTGTAATTATTTTTTGCTTCAAAGGTGAAATGCTAGCAGGCTGACTCAGGGTTATGTTAAATTTAATGTCATAAAAAACCCACCTCAGAATAACTTTGAACCTTAAATAATTTCCCGTTAGTTTAATTCAAGCCACTGACCATTACGAATGTTCAATAAAATTATCCGATTTTCTCTTTCTTTCTTTTTTGAATATGCTTAGCACAATAATGTATGCTTCTATTTTGATTTATCATATAACTAATTTTATATCTAGTCAATAATATTCTTTGCAAAAAAAATTTGGCTAATGCTTTTCGAATTAGTTTAGTTTCAATTAAAATGACATTCTAATCTTTTTTTTGCAGGGATATTTAAAAAAAATCCAAAGAAAATTAAAGTGCCAAATAGGAAAAAAAAATGGTTTAGGTGAAATATTTTAAAAATAATTAAAAAAATATTCTGTGTTCATACATATGAATGTGGTGTGGGTTTCTCTAAAACTATTATGTCAATCTATCGATACAAACAACTTTAAATTGTCCAAGACACATTAAGCCCCGTATGTTGGTTACTACTTGTATAGTTGGAGGAATTTAATCAGTGACTTGGTTGAATGAATATTTGACAAGAAATTTCTTATTTTAAAAGTTATATAACATGTATCATATATAAGTATTTTTTTGCTCACGGATTTTGTTGTGTTAAGCTTCTTACGAAGCAAGAAATTGATATTGAAAAATTGAATGAATCAAATACAAATATATATATATATATGTATATATATATATATATATATGTATATATATATATATATATATATGTATATATATATATATATATGTAGGATCCTTTGACACCGGTGTTAAATTTTAAAATTTGACACCAAATCCAACTTTATTTATGTCAATCAACGGTTATCATTTATTGAAAATTAATATTAATTAAAAAGTTTGATTCCCAATAAATGATCATCGTTGATTGACGGAAATCAAAGGTTAAGATTTAGTGTCAAACTTCAAAATTTGACACCGATGTCAAAAGATCTTATATATATATATATATATATATATATATATTCAGAAGTGAACATGATCAATGTCTAGCAGGATAGCTAGTATTTGTATATATGGAGCTTATGGTATAGATGATATGCAATGAAAAGTTCTGCATCTTAGGCCAAAGTCCGATGGTATTAACAATGGGTGTGTGTGTGTGAATCACCTGCTTAGTGGAAAGGATGTGCTCTGAACACAAATGTGAAGGTTGTAGCCATGGTGGCAAGTCTTGTGAATACTAAGATAAGTTATCAGATGATATCCCCCTTTGTTAGCTATAAGGGGTCATATATAGATGAAATGAACTAGGAAATTGCGCCTCAAGTGGGTAGTTTTTTGGTGACTTAATGATATAATGCAATACCTAGTGGGTGGTTATTTGTAGTGGATGAAAGTTAGGGAAGAGTGGTGGAGTGAGATGTTCTATGTAGTGGGGATGAGAAGTGGGAACCACTTAAGTGGTCTATTACATAAGCCCCCCAACCTGGCATTGTGCATAGTTGGAATGCTAGGGTGAAAACAAAGCACATGTGCCTATCAAATAGTGTTTAGTGTTGTGAAAAAACATATGAATGCCGGGAACATCCAGTCTCTGACTGCTTTCGGGCTCCAGGTTGCTTTATCGTGTTGCCGTTGGTTGTAGTTGTCTCCGGGTTTGTAATCACTTCGGATTTTAAAGCTGGACATGATTTCTTGGATTGTTATCCTAGATCTGCAATAAATAAAAATAATAATTATTTATTGCGTACCTGAGTAAGGTATGAGAACCCTATACGAGAAGTCTTGTGCGCTGATTAGGATCATTCTAAATCAAAAGTTCAACAATTTTCCCGCTTCCGATTGGGAAAAGGACGGGTGCCCAAGGGGCCATAGCTGGCGACAAGGGACTTTATTTTCCCGCTTCCGACTTGGAAAGGACAGGTGCACAAGAGTCCATCTTCTGGTGGCAAGGGACTTTTAATTTGCCCGCTTCCGCGTAGGAATTGAACGAGTGCTCAAGAGTCCATCTCTGGCGTCAAAGGACTTTTACTTTTCCCGCTTCCGAGTAAGAATTGAACGAGTGCCCAAGAGTCCATCTCTAGCGTCAAGGGACTTTTTATTTGTCCGTTTCCGAGTAGGAATTGAACGGGTGCCCAAGAGTCTATCTCTGGCGTCAAGGGACTTTTTATTTGCCCGCTTCTGAGTAGGAATTGAACAGGTGCCCAAGAGTGCATCTCTGGCGTCAAAGGACTTTCTATTTGTCTGCTTCTGAGTAGGAATTGAACGGGTTATCAAGAGTCCATCTCTGGCTTCAAGGGACTTTTTATTTGCCCGCTTCTGAGTAGGAATTGAACGGGTGCCCAAGAGTCCATCTCTGGCATCAAGGGACTTAATGCTTCTAGCCGGATTGTGATTGCTTCATCACTGAATTATGAACGCAATAGATGTCTTGCACCCTAAAAAACATAAAACATCCAAGTTTTGCATTATCTGTGTTGTCTGTTGCCCGTTGGTTGTGTTATGGCAAAATATCTTGCTACACGGAGGTCCATTATTGCTATAAGCTTCTTCGTATAACCTGCCATTCGAATTCTACATGTTATCTTACCTAAAAGCATGGCTGTACAGTTTCCTTTCTCCACATGTGCAGTTTCAACTATAGAACTTCTTAATTATTCAGAAGTAGCCTGCACGTTGATTAGATTATCAATATCTGTAGTCATTTTTATACCACTTCACTGAGTAGCCAAATTCAAATTCAAATTCAAATTTATAAATACAACAAAATTAAAACTTGTTCGAAAATGAACATTTATGTCTAGCAGGATAGCTAGTATTTGTATCTACGGAGCTTATGGTAAAGATGACAGGCAATGAGAAATCCTGCACCTAAGGCAAAAGTCCGATGGTATTAACAATAGGTGCGTGAGTCACCTGCTTAGTGGATAGGATGTGTTCTGAACACAAATGTGAAGATTATAGCCATGGTGGCAAGTCTTGTGAATACTGAGATAAGTTATCAGATGAGATCCCCTCTAGTTAGCTATAGGGAGTTATATATAGATGAAATGCACTAGGAGATTGTGCCACTAGTGGGTAGTTTACTGGTGACTTAATAGAATGATGCAATACCTAGTGGGGGATTGTTGTAGTGGATGGAAGTTAGGGAAGAGTGGTGGAGTGAGATGCTCTATATAATGGGGATAAGAAGTGGGAACCACTTAAGTAGTCCATAACATAAGCCGCCCAGCCTGGTATTGCACATAGTTGAAATGCCGGGGTGAAAACAAAGCTCACGTGCTTATCAGATAGTGTTTAGTGTTGTGAAAAATGATAGAAATGCCGGGAAAATCCAGTTTATGACTACTTCCAGGTTCCAGGTTTCTTTATCGTGTTGCTCGTTGGTCGTAGTCGTCTCTGGGTTTGTAATTGCTTCCGAGTTTGAAGCTGGAAGTGATTTCTTGGATTATTCAGCCTAGACCTGAAATAAATAAAAATAATAATTGTTTATTGCGTACCTGAGTAAATAAATAAACGACAGCTATATGTGGGATTTAGTACGAACAATTAGATCATAAATAAATAAATAAAAAATAAAAATAGAAGCATAAAATATTCAAACCCCCAATGCTATGTTTGTGGACCTTTGCCCCAAAGAGATAAATCTTTGGTACTACTGTTGTATTCAAGTTCACTTTTGAAAAAAAATTTAACACTTTTCGAAAAAATTTCTCGCCTCATAGCATTTTTTTTTCAAAAATGATAAAATGTTGTATTCACTTGAATATAACAATGGTACCAAAGATTTATCCGCCCCAAAGTAGCTGAGAATCGTTCCTCAGACCTGAAACATGAATAGCTAATCCAAGCACTGCCAAAGCTTAATATTATAAGTAGTTATCATAACAGAAGGAAAGTAGTAGAGATAATCAGTCAAAGCCACAAGAAGAAAAAGACGAGCTTGTCGACACCTGTTGGTAGAAGTAACTTGTCATTACTAAGTTGGGCAAAATATAAGTGATCGAGATATAGAAAGGATATATCACAGTTCACATTTACCTTAAAAAACAGAGGACCGAAGTCAGAATGAAAAAGAAAACCAGAAACTTAAAAAGTGAGCAAGTTAAAAAACTGTTAAAGGAAGTGAAAATATAATATGTTCTTCCACAGTTTCACTTAAAAGTAAAGCCTAAAATTATTCAGAAATTACTATAGATAATGAATATGTAAGCTTCACAAGGATACAAAAATTGTGTGTATGCATACAAATAGTTATAAATGCATATCTATCTAAATGTATCAAAATACATGTATCCACTACCGCACGCGAGTATCCATTTAATAGTTCATGTTATGCAGTATAACTGATTTGAATTATAAAATATCACTTGTATACATATGTTGTTTGAACCTTTAAATTGTATTATAAAGCAGAGATGTTAGATAAAATATTTCTAGACATATGCTAATGATAACAAATTCACTACCGTATAAAAGTCAAGAAGAATTAAGACTTGTTTCGTCAAATATGACACTTACTGCTAGTTGGATAATCTTAATAAATTCATAATCTCCAAAGAAAGGACAAGAGCAATATATCTTAATCCAATCATCAAATCAAATGGGTTTAGTTTAGTGCTAGCTTGTTTGTCGTATGATGATGTTGAGTAGAATCTCATTTTTCAGATAAAAATTTATGAGAGGAGATTATAGTGTTTTATATAGGAAAAATAATTAATATTGTAGGTCATTAAGGGATTCTAATGTTATTAATTATTCCTTATTTTAAAAAAGACAATGCAATTGTGAAATTAGCATAACAGTATTGACAATCAAGGCAATAATAACTTGGAATTTCCACACCTGGCGGATTGCCCAACAACTTTCATTTTCTGACGTTGGAGTAGTGGTGCACTTGGTTGGTGTTCCAAGTTTCCCTATGTATGGAGCTTTCCTGTAACC